TTAGGTCTCCTCAATACAAGGTGCCACCAGATGGTCCCTGGTTGCAGCTCAGAGTGCGACTGAAAATTCTTGTTTGGGCACTTGGACAAACAGGGTTTATTTGATTTATCTTCCTGCTCTTCCCTTCCCTTTGGGCTTTGTTCTGAGCTCCCTCCTTCCCTTCTCTCTGCAGAATGAAGTTGAGCTGGGAGAGCTGCTGCTGTCACTGAACTACCTGCCCAGCGCAGGGAGACTCAACGTGGACATCATCAGAGCCAAGCAGCTGCTGCAGACGGACATGAGCCAGGGCTCAGGTAAGGGGCTTGGTGCTCCAAGTTGTAGCTCATGGGCAGCAAGGTCCTGCACTGCAGGGGAGCCGAGGCTTCCCCACGCTCAATTCCTGTTGGCCCAAGACTTGGGATATTTGTAGTGTGTGGTGTTTTATGTGTAGTGGGTAATGAAAAACAGTGTTCAGAGCATGTATCCTAAGACCAAACGGGTGGTGTTAATATCCTCCTTGGACTTTAAGCCCAAAATGCTAAACCAGAGCAGGAGCTTCTCCCATGTTTTCTGTGGCCGAGGCAGCCCAGCGGAGGGGTGCGGGACGCCGGAGGCGCCGCGTGCCTGTGAGCGGTGTCACTGACGGTGTCTGACCGCTCTGCGGGCCGTGTGGCTCTCCTGCGACGTGCACGCGCTGCTCGCTGCCGTTTCGATCGCTCCCTGCGCATGGCCTCACGCGCCCGCCCCCGCTTGCTGCAGCGTCCGCCTGTGGCATTTTTCAAAGCGAGCAGTGTATTTGGCCTCTGTCAAGGCTGTCATTGATCATGCTCTGTGTGGCTTCAGCGGGAAGCGCTTTTAATCCCGCTGCCCAACTTCTGTCTCACTCGAGCGCGGCTCACAGGGAGCTGCACCATGCTAAAAGCCCCAGTTGTCCCCAAATGTCATTTTCCAGCATGATGCTGCTCTGCTGCAGTGGTCCCGGCTGTGCTGTGCCTCTAAGAAAGGTAAAGACTTTCCAGGGATATCAGCTCACATGCCCTAACGCCAAGCCTGTGCTTTGTGGTTTTGGCAGATCCCTTTGTGAAAATCCAGCTTGTTCATGGTCTGAAGCTAACAAAAACCAAGAAAACCTCCTGCATGAGGGGAACCATTGATCCCTTCTACAACGAATCCTTCAGCTTCAAGGTGCCACAGGAAGAACTGGAAAATGCCAGCTTAGTATTTACAGGTAAATGGGTCACTGCTCTCCGCTTGACGTTGCGCCGTTTACCTGGGGTGAGCAGAAGGGCTGCTCTGGGCCTGCTCAGTGCCTTTCTAGCTGGCCCGAAAGGTGTATCCATTGACAGACTCCTCAGGGAAGTGCTCTTTCCTCTGCAGAAGCTTTTCCTAGTGGTGCCACCTGCATAGGGACTGGCTGGGATCACCCCTTGACAGCCACCTTTGATGGTGCCACCAGGAACACTTTGGAGCAGAGGAGAAGGCTGCTTTGGTTGGACTTCTCAGCAACAGCTGACTTAAGGATGAAGGAGAGAAAAGTGATGAATGGTCCCAAAACCCAAGACTGCTTGTGGCAAGGGGCATTATCTGCCTTTGGACTGATGCTTGCCGCTGGTGTCCCCTTGTCACCGGCTGGTGCGTTCACATCCAGTGTGCACGGGGATGGGATTCGAAGCCCTGCTGTGGTGTCCTGCTTAGCCCATGTCCTGGGGCAGTGTTTAGGGCAGAGTCAGCAGAGCACAGCACAGAGGGGCCACGTCGGCCTAGGGGGTTCCGGCCTGTGGCACCCCCATCCTGTGCCTGCCCTTGCCCTTCTGTGCTGCACATGCACAAATTAAATTTTTCTTCTCCCCAATATCCCACCCCAGTTGCTCACCATCTCATGAAGGAGAGCAAAAATCTGCATCCGGAAAAGATATATTTTGAAATAATTCTGTTTCTTACATGGGAGAAACAGGTGTTGCAGGCCATACAAGGAGCCTCATTCCAGCCCATTAGTTTGTTTCCAAACATGTCACAACAAAAGTGATGCTGATCAGCAATTTAAGCCCTTCATGCTCAGAGATTTCCTTGGCAAAAAGTCTGCAATTAATAAGGGCTTTGCATGCGCGTCATCCTGAATATACCTTCCGTGCACAGTGATGAATTTGTTTGTGGCGTCTTCTGTCAGGTAATCTTGTGGCAGGAGTGAAATACTCGTTTGTCTTCCCCTCTTTCTCCTGGAAGAACAAAAGGCAAATGCAGAATACCGGGTCTAGGGAATCTGGGAGGGTGGGTGGAATTCACTGTTCCTCGCTGCAGCTGATGAAGTTGGCATTAATATGTGGATGCCTGATATTTTTAGTCTTTTTTTTTTTCTTTTAGAGGAAATCACTCGAAAATTAGCTGATTCATAATAGTTTGTGATGCAGTTTGGATTTCAGTGACATGCCTTGAAGTGGTTGCTTCAGTTTTAAGTAATGTGTTTTTGGCTTTGAAAGCCCCAGTAAATAATCCCAGGCCAGCGCGTGCTGGCGTTGGGACGCTCGGAGCAGCGTGGGGTGCTCCAGGGTGAAGGGGCTGGAGGGTGAAACGCAGCTTGGGCACCACGCTGTGTTTGCCCTGCTTGGGTCTGGTGTCTGAGATGCGACCGTCTTTCTGGATGAGGCTAACCAAGGATGCATGGACATCTCCAGTGGTGTGGGAATAAGGGGACTCAATGGTGATAAAGACTTTGAGACCTATTCTGTGCTAGCATAAATGGTCCAAACTGTGCACATGAATGCGATTGTATCCCCAGGATGAAACCTGGCACCAGGTTCGTGTTCTGTCAGTGTGGACTTTTGATAAACCAAGCACAAGCCAGGCCTGCTCAAAAGGTTGTATTCCGTGCATAGTTTGGTGAGATGTTGTGCAGCTGAACGTCCCATAAAATTCTTCGGGATCATCTACTTAAAATGATAAAGTGTAACTGGTTTCCAGAGCGGAGGACCTGTGCCCTGCAATGTAAGGGGCAGAGCCCAGACCCTCTGTTGCTTTGCATCCCTACAAAGCGGGAGGATAAACCACACTGTTGGGTTTTCCTATAGGGAGTTTTGACTGCAGTGCTGGCTCTTCTGTGGGTGTTTTGCTTTGTTTTAAACTTATTTTTCCTCCTGAAGTCTGCTCCATTAGGTCAGTTAATTAAATTTGTCTGGAGTCAAAGCCCAATTCAAAAAGGGAGTAATCCTTCTTTGAGGGTGGTAGTGATGCTTTGACTGGATAAAGAGCGGCAAAGGCAGTCGTGGGAGTCAGAAGTGAGAATACCTTCAATAATTTAAAGCAGCCTTTTTTAGTGGCTTCATATTTTGGAGCCAGTTTGCAGCTGTCTTTGTCTTGTATTGGTTTCAGTTGATGGCCATGGAGCAGTGCCAGGCTCTGTCAGCTGAGGTTCCTGGCTCTCTCCATGTAGCTGGTACCACATTGCAAACCCAAGCACCACCTGGGCAAAGTAAGGGTTTCTTTTCATGGTTTTTCTTGTGCATCTCGCATCAAATTGGTTTTCAGTGATCGTGGTAAGAATTGCATGCAGTTTTCCCATGACTTTTAAGAAGGCTTTCCATGCAGAGCATCAAACACGGAGTGCGGACACCTTTCTTCCCTCTCTTGTCCTCCTGATGCTCTGGAGAGCTGTACGTTGGGCTGGATGGATGATGCAAGAGCGGCCAGTCTCACTGCAGGTTCTGTTTGCTTAACATCTTTGGAAAGTAAGGTGCATAGAATGAGCTTCACATTAGTAAGATTTGGGGGGATTTTGGATCAGTTTCTCTTCCTTGTGCATGTTTGGAACCAACATTGTAAATTATTGGCATTTACAAACTAAAAAACTTCTCCTCCCACCTTGGTACAGAACACCTTGCACAAGTTGTCTGTCTCTTGCCTTCTGTCCACCCACCTCAGATGCTCACAGCACTTGTCTCCCTAGATATCCAATTTGGGGCTGATTTTTGGAGGACAGGAGGAAGTTGCTTGTATGTGAAAGGTGGATGACGGGGAGTTTTAGGCGATGGGCACAGCCACGCTTTCCTGCAGTGCTGAGAACACCCGCTCCAGACAGCTCCTAATCAACAGAGGCCACAAACAGGAAAACTGTTGATATTTGTAACGAAGTCTAATGTCCTGACAAGAAAAAAATATAATTAGTGAGGCAGCAGCTAGTGGAGAAGATGTCTGATTTTAATTTACACCATCAAATGTGTTGCCTTGGTTATGAACATCTATATACAAACTGTAAGAGAAGTGTGTGATTGTGGGGTTCCTTTTTAATTTTATAATTTTTTTAATTCTCGTGACCTCGAACATCCTCCACTTGCCATTTTGTGTTCAAATACAGCTAGTTCACAGCTTTGCCCCTGGCAGACAGATGGGGCAGGCTGCCTCGCGCTCCCAGGGGAAGGATGGTGGCCCAGGGAGGCTTTCCAGGTCTGAGCCAACCTTTGGAGAGATTCGGCCCTGCAGCAGGAAGGAGATGACACCTGAAATCCAAACACAGCAGTGTTTTGTTAATGATTATAATGGTGTTAATAATCGCCAATGCTGTTTGTGCTGCAGTGAAACCCAGATGGCCCCATAAAACACATTAATCCTCCAAGGCAAACCACATCTCAGTGACTCGCTAACATCTTTTAATCACTTACCATATTAAAATACAGCCTTTAATATCAACATTTATGTAATATATTTATCCCCGAGGTCCTGTGGTGACTATGGGTGTCCTTCTCTGTCTCAATAAGCTCTTGTGCATGTTTGGATAACAAGATCCCTGATGCTCGTGAAGCCAGCCAGGGGTGCTGGAGAGGTGCTGACGTGGGCTGTGACTGTCGACGTGTGCGTGACAGCTCATGAAATCCTAATAATAAATATTGACCGAGGCCCGCACAGCTCACGGATCCTCTTGCTTTCAAGCCGTCTGCAGGATGGATTCTCAGCACTCTGCAAGAAAAAGAGAGCATGCCTCTGTTTTCTATTACGATTTAAGGCCAAGCTGTTAAACGTATTGGGGTTCCCCAGGAAGCCTGGCTGAGCAGTGAGATTTTGAACGCTTCACAGTGCCTCTCCATTAAGTGTATACCTCAATGCTGTAATGGTTCTTGTCTTCAGACCCCTAGATCATTTGGATGCTTTATCCCGGGGCTCTAATTAGTGTCTAGCTAATAGAGAGTACTTGACTGAAATAAATTGCTGTCAATAGTGATATACTTTTGTTTCTGTATTACCTCATTTCCCCTGGCCTTTGGGAGAATTTAAGGATCCTTTGGTGAAGTTTGAATTTTCACAGAAAAAAATTTATTGTTAGTATCTGTTGCCACTGGTGTGGCTTGGGGTAGTTCAGTTTGCTTTGATTGCAATAAATTCTGCCTGCATTTCTGAGAAAAATACTGCCTGTTGTTTAAGGATGTGCATTTCTTTTGTGCCACTAGAACTGAGAGGAAAAGAATTGAGTCTTCCTTGAAATCCTGACTGGCTGTCAGAGACTGATATTTGTTTCAATATCAGGACTTCAATATCAGGCAAATCCGGACTTGGAATAAATGGTTGCTAGTAACAGTAATAGGCTCTAGTGAGCACAGCCCTGCCCCATGGAGCCCTTCGTAGTTGTGGTTGCTAAAGATGATCTGGTACAGACTTTTTTCTACAGACAGATTTTTTGTACATTCCCTTATGAACATTTTTTGCATGTTTACTAGAAAATGTTTTGAGGTGGTATTGATCCGTGTGACAAGTCTGTGGTGCTAAATCGTGGTTGGTGAAAGGGCTGGGGAGGAGAGCAGCCTTCTCCTGCACCCGCCCAAGTGCTGGAGAGCACCTGAGCCCTTAGCTAGCGGGTGCTGGTGGTGAAGGGGCACAGAGTGTTTGCTGGCAGCGCTCCTCGTGCCCTTCAGCCTGGGCCCTGAGCATTGTCAAAGCCTTCACAAACCCATCTTTACCCATCACAGCTTGAGATGACGCTAACTGTTGGTTTGTATCCACAGTGGGGTCTCCAGACACCTTGAATCTGGTCCTGGCTTTTCCTCTGGCTGATGAGAATGTGGTGGAAGCTCCTCAAACCTTAAAACCCTTCTTGGCTTTTGTCTGTTGGCTCTAGACTCCCGTTATCTACTCCAGGCTCGTGGGCTAGCTGTTGGGGACAGACTGATGCTCTTGGTGTTTGCCTGAGCCGCACGAGTCTCATTGCATCACGCGGCTGGGATGCGAGGTGTCGAGCCTTGGCAG